TATTTATATCAAATTAAAGGGAATCAAATTTCCTATCAAACGAGATCAAAATTTTTAAAATCCATGCATTTCGTTTGATTTAAAGAATTGTTTAATTTGAACTTTGAGTCTTAATAACTTTTTCAGTGGTTGTTTTCGCAAGAAAAGAAATATAGCGTTATACTCAGCTCGATGATATCTATCAATCCCCATATGTTTTTTTTTTAATTTGAGAATCGAAGCTGTTTTGCATTTGTTCCAAAATTTTAATTCATAGTCGCGCCAAAATGTCAAATGAGCACAAACGTCAAATCGAAATGTCACGCAACACAAATCTTGGAATTTGAGTTAGCTTTTTACGCACGCCGGTCAATTTCGGTTGGTCCCATACAAGTTGTATGTGCATGAGAAATTTTTGACAGTAAACTGCCGGCGTGCGTGAATATTAGGTTGGCCTGTTACGCTGCAGGATTCTTGTCAGTGCTGCCAGATCTTCGGCATGAGAAAACGTCCATCTTGGTCTGAAAAAACGTCATTTCCTATCCAAAAACGTCTTTTTCAAATGAATGTACAAAAAATTGTTCTTATTAAACTTTTATTGTATACAAAGGTACATATCGAGCCCTAACCGCCAAAATAACGTAAGCGAAGTTTTTTCAAAATTTTCTTTTTGATGCAACAATATTCCTAGATGCATTTTTGCATCAAAAAGAAAATTTTGAAAAAAATGTCGCTTACGTTATTTTGGCGGTTAGGGCTCGATATATCTAACATACATAATACATTAAGATGTCACATTTAAAATTCATTGTAAACTGGTTTGAGATCGTTAATATAAAAATCATTTTATAAATACATTTGTGATCATCTGATTAAGTCATCAATATTTTGATCGATTTTGGCTGTTTCTCTTTCGTTTATTTAATGTTTATTATTTTTCCATAAAAGCCAAGCTCATTAACAAACAAAATATAAATAAAAAAAATTGTGCAAAAATTATAAACAATCTGCGAATTTTCAGCTAGATTTTCAACTTTTTATTCAGATTTTTTAGAATTTTTTTTTTTGAGTATGCAGTTTGATAGCCCATTGAATTTCAGGGCAACAATGTGGAAGTTTAAAGGGGCTAAATAATCGCGTTGATTTTAAATTTTTTTTTCTTGTAGACATTTGGTTAGGGGCTCAGTTGTCGAAAATGCTAAATTACGTTCTGCTAAGAAGGAGCATAGCAATAGGTCCATTCAATATCGAAAAATTGTTACGAATTGTTGCTAGTACTTGCAAGTTTTTACTGGAAATGCATTCAATATCCCAAAATATTTGCAAGAGGGAGTGAATTCGAGAGCGTAACAACCAGAGAGAGCTGCAAATTCTTGCAAGTAAAAGTTTTACTAGCAGGAATTTGCAGGAGGCAGAAACTAAGGTTATGTTTCAAATTCAAATGTAAACAACTGTTTAAGAGGATGATTTGATGAAACATAATTAGTGAAATGAAAATATGGATGAAAAATTTAAATCTATTGTATATTTTTTTATTATTATGACGATGGGAACTATTCCCAATTAAAAAGAAAATTGCGCGCCAAAACTTAACCGTCAGAAAGTGTCAAAATGGCTTAAGTTGCAAGTTTTTTACTAGTTTTGCGTTCAATAACTTTTTCTGAAAATTTTCTCTTGCTCTCATTTTTACTCTCTATTTTTTTTACGCTCTCGCTGCAAATACTTACTGGAAAAGTTATTGAATGGACCTAATATTTCAGTCTTTCTTGCATTCAATACATTTTCAATGAAGTCTTAAAAAAGTCGCCTACTTTTTTCTGCCGTTTTATGCTGCACAGCTTTTTTGATGCTTTTGCGAGCGTGCCTGCTGCAATAGATCGGCTCTTCCTGATTTGGCTTTTAATGTGCAATTGCAAACATTACAGCAAGCCTCGTAACCTCAAGTGTTTACACAACAAGCCTTTGAACACGGGATCCTTAGTCCAAAAAGATTGTAAAGATTTATTAAGAAAATAATTCAAAATTAGTTCTACTTATAAGATTTAGTAACAAAGAAAAATTACTGGGAAGTTAAAAAACGTAATTTTTTACACAAAAAACGTCCAAACGTCAACAGGATACAGAAAACGTCCAAATGACGTTAAAAACGTCAACCTGGCAACGCTGTGTGAGTTACAAGTGCTTGTATCAAAAGTAACGATACGAAAGATACGGGTCTTGATTGGATTAGTAACGAGGATGCACCGTTTAGGCTACCACCGATGCCATTCACCGGGTTCAATAGACGTGCCCGATCCGTGGTGGCCCGCTGCTGCGGATGCAATGTGCAAGGCTAGTTCGTTATTCCGAAGAGGTGGCACCGAAGGGGCTTCAACTGCCACGAGAGACCCGCGTTACCCTGGCTCAATTACGGTCTGGATACTGTCGCCGCCTTAACAGTTACCTGTCCAGACTCGACCCCAATATCCCCATGTGGAGAGTCCCCCCACGACACCAACCACCTCTTTACATGCCAGCTCAATCCGACTCAACTAACATCCCTCTCCCTCTGGTCCGAACCCATCGAAACAGCTCGTTTCCTGGGCCTCCCGTAGTTGAGCTTGACGACAATGATTGAACGTAGACCCGAAAAAGGCGGGGCTTAGTAGTGCCGCTACAACAACAACAACAAGGGTATGTACACGTGCACTTCTCGGGGCTAATTCCTCCACTGCTGCACACAATGATTTCTTTTTTCTCTCGACTACTTTTGGCGAAAGTTTGGTTTTTTTAGTTTGTTGTTTTCTGTTTTTAAACTTGTTTGGTGTGATAAAAACCCACAAAATAAATTATTTTCACACTAAAACGCACTTTGGTTGTTTTTCTTCACTTACACTTGATTGTGACAAACGATATCGCAAATGGCCGACTGTGAGGTTGCCAGCAAGTTTTATACCCTTGCCTTGGCATGTTAGAGATGGCCGCGGCGTTATCGATATGTACCATGCAATCGGGCTGGGTTTATTTATATTTTTTCAGATCTATAGGGAAATTAAGGATGTATATATTGATTTTAAGGTATATAACAGATTTACGTAAGGGTAAGTAAATGTAGATAAGGCGTTAAAATTTAATAATTAGTTTTCTATTGAAGGAAAAACAACTTGCCAATTTATTTACTTTCTTTACCGACTATTGTTAGAGAGCTTAGTTTCAGGCAATGTTAACAAGGACCTGCGTATGTTAAGCATCCTAAAAGTCGGAAAGCATGATATCGTAACTTTTAAGAGAAAAAAAAAACGTCATGGGTCATGGAAAAGGAAAATATGATATTGGTAAAAATTTTATTTTATAATGAACGGTTGCATGCATATCGATTTTTACCCATTGGGGGCCATCTCTACATCACGCGTAATTTGGTAACGGGAGTCTCGCCTGATTCTTGTAACGGCAGTTTCACGGAAATTTTTTTTCGCAACGCAGTGGCGCGAAATTTCTTTGGTGACGCCTCCAATGAGATCATGCCACTAATAGTCCTATAGTGTGTCCTGTCTAAGTGTGTTGTCGTCACTTTTCCGTTTTTAGGCTTTTTATGTACTAGCCGGTAATGTTCCGTGTAGTGGCAACCCCTCCAAGACTTGTCAAGATGGTAGACTCTAATTGGCAGTTTTAGCGTTGCGGCACACTCTGGACAATATTCGATGGTGAATTTTTCTGACACATTACCGGGTGCACTATACGCCGAAGAATAAAATATTTAAATTTCTGTGCGGCGAACAGTAACCCATAACAATATTATAAAGAGAATCGATGCTCACTTTTAAATACGTAACTATCGGATATTATTTGTCAAAGATCTATTGAAACAACTGGATGTATAACTAGTTATTTCTACATTTTCATAAATAAGTTTAATTTTATTTATTTTTCTCATAAAGAAAAAAGAATGAGAATGAAGAATTCGTTTGAAAAAGCTAGAGAAAAGATGACACATCTGGTTTGGCTAGATTATTCAAGTGAAGATGAATGTCAGGAGGATACATTTAACATTTGCAGCCCCGATGCAATTCTCAAAAGGGAATTGTTCTTGCACCGCTATACATACATATATATGTATACATACATATATATATAACTGAAAGTCCTCCCAACCCAGCATTTTCTGGAATTATTGATCATATTCGAGTCTTTTTTGAGTCCTTTGCGCGATTAAAATAATCATAAATGCCCTCATATTCTGATCATAAAAGACTCTTTTGCTGGTAGAAAATGGTACCCTGCCCGCGACTCTTCTTGAAGAGTCTTTTATTAACCACTTTTCTGATCAGTTTTGACTCTTTCTCGAGTCGTATTTTTATATTCATTTGTGAGTCTTAATCAAATGATATTTCAGTTGTATCTCTTATCATTTGCGAGTCTTTTCCGAGTCATTTTTTAGCCGTATTTGTAAACATTTGTGAGCCTTTTTTGAGTCATTTTTCAGTCGTATTGCAAAATATTTTCGAGTCTTTTCCCAGTCCTTTTTCAGGTTATTTTCAAATCGTTTATGCTGCGAAAAATTAAATAAGTATTAAATTAATTTATAATTAGCAAATCAGCATATTTTATTGAGTTCAAAATAAGAGTTAATGAAATAACGAATTTTTTTTAATAAAATCCATTATTACAGTTGAAAATATTTCAAAATTACCCTCCAGGATAAAAGTAATTGATACAGAGAACTTTTCCCAATGTACTCAAAGTATTTTGTTTCAATTTCTTTTCGAAAATTTTTTATAAAAAACGTATAATATTACAACAAAAATATAAAAATAAAATGTCTAAACTTTATGCAGAACACATAAAAATTTTATGAAATTGCAACTTTTTAAATAAAGTGCAAGTTCCAAGTTGCTAAAAAATCGCGTTGATTTTTGGCAATTTTTTTTCGACAGTGTCTTCCATATAAAAAATGGCGAACATACTTTGTATGAAAGACACAGTCAGAAAAAACTTGCCAAAAATCGCGTTGCAAAGTTGGAAATCTATTCAATTTTCCTGAGTTTTGATATGTTATTTGTTTTTTGTCGTAATATGAACTATGTTTTTATAAAAAAAATTAGCGATACGAAATTAGTTAAAAACTTTGCACGCTTGGTGAAAAATTCCTAGTGCCAATACTTTTGTCGGTATGTACTTATATAAAAATTCAAAATATTAAAATCAAGAAATCGATTTTACGAATTGCACTGGTTCTTTGCCGTGTATACTTGCAATGATCTGGTTTGTTTTCGTTTTTCCAACCTGTCTTAGCACGCACAAAATGCTTTTGTAGTACACCGTTTATTTCTTGCTTTGTTTTTTTGAATTTAAGACGGCAAATATCTAAGATAAAACGTATTAATATTAGGCTATACTACTTTACATACATAGTATATTGCAATTTTCTTACACCACGCACTTCATACCACGACTCGACTGCTATTGCCAAAATTTGGCAAAAAATTATGAAGAATTATGCCGTTAGAAGCAAAGGCAGCTGAAGCAAATGTTTTTTACAATAGCAAAGGAAACGATTACATTTTAATCCCCAGTATGATCAATTTGTGATTGCCCTGCATTACGTTTTTATATTTTCAAAAAATTACTTTTCAAGCGTAATGGTGAGCCATTTTCGAGTCTATTTTTAATCGCGGAAGCGAATTATGAGGTTTTAATCATCAAAAGTGATCGAAGAAGACTCAGTAAGGCGATTTCTATTAAAGTAATCTTACAAATGCTATGTGGGTCATACACAAAATCATCATTTATTTCAATTCAGTTTATTTTCACTTAGTTTGAATATTGTGATATCGACACATATATCAGAAAAGGTATTCACTCAAATTCAAAAAAAATTTAAGCCAAAATCATTCATTCATTTTGTATACGAATAATTAACAAGCCGTTTTGTATGAATTCATGCAGTCCTCTAGCACATACTTGTGCAGTGGGCTAATACAGTGAAACCCGCTTAAGTACCCCCCGCCTAAGTACTTAACCCGCTTAAGTAACCAACATTTTTGGACACCGTGAATTTTTTAATGTAATCTGAAGAAAATCCCTCTCTTAAGTACCTCCCCACTTATTTACCCAACCCGCCTAAATACCTCATCTTCTCGTGCCTCATTTACAATTTGACTTATTATTTTCCCCTTTTAAGTGCTCTTTTAAAATTCCTTAAAATATTTAATTATTTTGAAATTCAGTAGCAGCGCTACACACCTTCGGTAAAAAAATTCTAAAAAATCCACGGTAACTTTTAGCCACTTGAAACTTGCATATTATTACACTAATATTGAATGGGCTATAAAACTGTATACTCAGAAAACACTTCTGAGAAAAAAGTTTGAAACTATGATGAATTTTTTTAAGTATTCTACAAAATCTTAAGCTTAGGTTTATTTGGATTTTGTTAGGGAATGAACTGCATTTAAAAATTAATGAATAAACATAAGTGGCAAACAATAACATTTTAATTTGGTAAAAAATGATATGTCCAACTTTGACTTTTTAAACAATTTAATTCTTGTAAAAATGACATACCATTGCACTAAATATTTTTTTTTACAAAGTTTTTCTTTACTTGTTTATGTATACTTCATTAAATGTTGTTATTCAAGTTTTTATGTAAGTTAACAAGAAGATGAAACTACATCAGTAATTATGTTCGCTTAAGTACCCGCATCGAGGTACTTAAGCGGGTTATTTTAAGTGCCCAACCCGCCTAAGTACCTCAAAAAGCTGACATTTTTCGTGAGGTACTTAAGCGGGTTTTACTGTATGTACAATAAACCTCTTCCTATAGTTACCTGTTATTTTTTCAGTGGGACTCTCAAAAACAGGCTTCGGACAACAAACCTTAATAAAAATGAGAAAACGAAATATTTCTTTTGATAAGTAAGTCAATTAACATATAATTTATAACTATAATTGTATTACAATTACAAGGTTAGTAAGCGTAAATATATATAGCAAGTTTGTACTAACCAAAGGATTTTTTCCAATCTTTCCACATTGACTGTTTCTTAAAAAAATTAGTTCATCGTCTTTTAAATCGGATTTCATAGCCAGATTGTATAGAATTGTGCATAATTGTATTACAATGCAATCACCAGACGTTCCGCCAGGTGTCTCGCACGTCCCATAACTGGTTTCTATTCAAATAGATAACAAACATAAAAAATAAACGAGATTGTAGTTGCCAGATCCTTTTTCTCGAAATTCAGTACTTTCGGATTTTTCAGAGCTAAAAAAACAGTACACTTCAGTACTTTTTTGTTAGGCGCAAAAATTGTACAATCCACTGCTAGTTTTATTAAAATCTTTAAATTTTTAGTTACATATGGGCACATATTTAGTTACATATGGGTACATATTAGGGATGTAAATTTTTTAGATGTTTACGATCCCGGGATTTTTGGGATCTCGTTGTTGCAATCCCGGGATCCCGGTATCCATTATTTTTCAACCACTTAGCTCAAAAAAACTTGAATCAATATTGTTTAAGAAGTTCTCCTACCATATAATAAATAATAAATCAATAGGTTTGAAACTTACTTTTTTATTTAAAGTGAAAATTATTTCATTAGTAAACATAACAAGACAGTAATTAATGTTATGGTCTGCCGAGTGTGACAAGTACCAACGTAAAACAATGTGTACGTTTAATTCAAGGCCGTCTGTTATATTCTTAACAACTTAATAATAAAACAATTTTACAATTTCGGAAAACTTATGTGTGGTTAAATCCCTCTGATGACGTTCATTATCTCAAGCAAAAACTTGGCTACCTTACTCAAGATGGCGTATTATACCTTAACGCAGGGTTTTATTTCTAAGAATTGAGAATGCTACTTTTATTTCGGATTCCCCAACAATTGAATTAATACACATGGTATGTCGCAAAAGCTCAATGTAAAAAAATAAAGTCAACAAAGGTATTTTGTGTTTGAAAGATTCTCGTAATTTCGAAATTCTAGTGGCAAAAATAAAAGAAACGCCATCTTTTTGTCAGCTTTGTCTATATTTCTTTTGTTTATTTAACATTAAATTTTTTTTGTAAAATTCTACGCATTATAGATACATATAATAAACTGTAGGAGCTTTAAAAAAAAGGTAAAACAAGACATTATTTTTTAATTTTGTTATGTACATACCTTTATGTACAATGTGCATATCCAATTAAATATATAAAAAAAATACATCCAGTGGTCAAAATATTACAGCCGAACCACTTTTTGCCAAGTTTTACCGTGTTATTTTGGTTGTTATTTAATTTTGATAATTTTTTCTTTAAGAAAACCCGTGTAAATCCAAGTTACCAACTTTGTGCAATATGAAAAAAATTCAACAAACTTTCGTACAAATTTCGAGCTTTTTTAAAAATTCTAAAAAATCAACCATAATTTTTAGCCATTTGAAACTTGTACTTTATTCTACTAGAATTCAATGGGCTAAAAAACTGAATACTCAGAATCTAATTAGAAACTCGAAAGTTTTACGAAAATTCGTTGAATTTTTTTAAATTGAATAAATTTTTAAGGCAGTGTCACTCGATTGGTACATTTGTACAGATTTGTGCATTTTTATATTGAGCTATAGGTACAAAATTTTTGAAAAAAATTTTTTTTTTAGTCAAAACCTTGGTACAATACAGCAATCTTGTATTGAAATATTTCAACAAACTATTGGGATATAGACAAATATTTGAGTATTCACACAATTGGGATACGATTTGCACCAAATTTCGGCAAATTTCCAATCGTGTGACACTGCCTTTAAACTTGTATTTATACGGATGTTGGTAAATAATGAACTATAAAAAACTAACCAAAATTAAATAACAACAAAAATAATATTTTACAACTGGTCAAAATTTGGTGCGACTATAATTTTTTCGACTACCGTACATAAGTTGACTTTGATTACTCGGCTATCATAGTAGCATAATGCCACTAATATTTGACTTACAAACAAAATACGGGCAGGAACCCTGTTTGTGTGAGATATTTTATTTTTATCCGTATTTTTCTTTTTATCAATCTTTGTTGAAATAAAAGTGAAAATAAAAAAATATTTTGTCGAAGTTTCAAGAATTTCTGAAATTGGGAAAAATTGGTGTAGCGGTTACCAAGATATACACATGTAATCATAAGTGGGCGAGGCTACGCCCATTTACTAAAAATTTATATTATTCTTATTTTACGTCGAAAATTCATTGTAAATATCAATTTTCAGTGAATAAGCTTCAGTAAAATATCGCAGTTTACGTATTTCTGAAAATTACCGATATATGCGAAGTGGGCGTGGTTACGGTCCGATTTGGCTCATTTAAAAACAACCGTTATGTGAACAAAGTTATAATTCCCTTGTGCATAACTGCGCTCGGGTGCAAAAGTGCCTACAGCTGAGATCACGGTTGCCATTTTGTAGGGATGTTCAAATAAGATCGGTGTTTTCATAAACCGTTTTCTTTTAACTTTTTAATTTAGGTGTTAATAATTTTTTTTTTTGCTTTTAAACTGAAAGCCAAAAACTCGGTTTTAACATTCCCCAGCAATGGATAATTATTTTGCAATTTGTCGAGATAAGAATAAAGTTTTACGGCGTACCACAAACTTCAAATTCACTAATCAATTTTGGTTTGCTGATCTAGTGCTAAAAAAGTTTTTCTTAGCTCACTTCGATTCTCTACCGAAAAGGTCCACATACCAAATTATGTAGGAGTAATACTTTCGAAGATACTTGCAATTTTTGTAAGAAAAATGTTTTAATCAATGTATTTATTAATTTTCATTTTTTGCGCACATTGAACTTTGATGGTCTTGGGTGAGCCTAAGATATTGACCAAAAATTGTCATCTTTCACATAGATTGATTTTAGAGCATAATGAACGATATTTTTGCTATTACCAATCAAAATTCTAAAAAAGCGAATTTTCGGCCTACGCCTACCAACTCCGAGCTAGTGCGTATCGTTGTTCTACAGAACTCCAATATACATAGACTTATTTCAGACGAAATACCTTAAATATCTTATCACGGAGAACATTGGTGCTGATGGTTGATTTAACGGTGTTCATTTGAGATTGACCCCTGGGCAACCCAATCCTGGTGTCTCCGAATGAAGCTTTAACGCATGTAATCGGATATTCATGGCACATTTTCTCACTTGACGATTTTTAGTAATAACTCGACTCCAGCGCCATTCGGAGGATGTTTTTTTCCAATTCTTTTGCCCTTACCGCTACCAATGCATAAGTATCTCGAATATAAGCGAGATCGGATCATAACTAAGATTTTTAGTAACAACACGCCTCGAGCGCTACCTGGCGGGTCAAAATGGGAATCTAAACTATCTAAACTATCCTACTCAAACACACACACAAAATTTCGTTAAAATCGGTTTCAGGCCTGTATGCAGCTCTCAAGAAAACTCCATATAAAATGACGTACAAGAAATGGCTAAGAAATTTTCTTGAGTCAAAATTCCTTAAGGCAGTACGCAGTTCTTAAGAAATTTACTACGCTTTCTACTACGGTTTTCCAAAGTTTTTTGTGAAAAAAGAGCACAAGGCAACCCAGGTTTGCAACAGAAATATATGCCCGTTCCATTGTTTCTTGAGGAAAGAGTGAGGCAACAGGCTGTGAGGTATCAAATATGTCAAAATTCCTTGGAAACACACGCGAAATAATGGCAATTTTTTCTTGACCGTTTTCTTGAGAGCTGCATACAGGGCTTAACTCACAAACACACGAACAGCAGAATTATATGTATGTATAAGAGTATGCGATTTAATTTCGTATACCTCTATATAGTACTATGTATATACTATTCGAGTATTCAACCATGAACACTCACGGAGATATGCAATATGAAAAATTCGGTTTATTTGAGTAGAGTAGAGTACTTGACTACAATTAACACATCCAGAGATATGCAGTATGAAAAACTCGATTTGTATGATAGGTGCCACGCCCCCTTTTCCAATAACATCAACTTTTTTTATGAGTATGCGATTAATTTCGTATGGGAGGTGCCACGCCCCCTTTTCCAATAACATCAATTTTTTCCATGAGTATGCGATTGATTTCATACAGGGTGTCCCAGAAGTAACCTGCCAAACTTAAGGAGAAGGAAGGAAGGCTCCCTGATAAACAAAAATTTTTCAGGTAAAAGTGTCACCGTTTTTGAAAGGTACATTATCTCTTGCTCCTGACATTATTTTGTGTTACTTACCGGGATTCGGACTAGAGTCAATAACAAGGGCTTTATCTATCAATATTTTTTATAAAGGATGGGTTCACGTGAAATAGAATATACATGAGTTGTTTGAAGAAAAATTTATTCATTTATTGATAAAATATGCTCAAATTGGCGACCTTCTACTCTAATACAAGCTCGGCACCTTTTAAGAAAATACGCTTAAACTCAATTGGGCTATCCCAGCAGCAGCTCCATTTATTTGTTCCCGAAAATGCTCTTCGTTTTGAATTATTTTTGAATAAATTTTGGCCTTAAGACAGCCCCAGTAGAAAAAATCGAATGGATTCAGGTCTGGCGATCGATCGGGCCACGTGATTGGCCCGTATCGTTCAATCCATCGGCGAGGATAAGTTTCGTCTAAATTAGCTCTTACTTCACGCCCGTAGTGAGCAGGGCATCCGTCATTTTGCTGCCATAGTCTTCGGGTACATTCGGGTTTAGGGGTACATCTTCTAAAAGAGTTGGAAGCCGTTCCTGAAGGAATCTTAAATAACTGTGGGAGTTGAGCGTTGGCGGCAGTTCCACAGGTCCCAATATCTGACAATTAAAAATACCGCACCATAAATTTATTTTGTGTTGGTACTGCGAACGATCTTATCTCATTTCGTGAGGATTGTCTATCTGCCTACTGTGAAGGTTATGTAAATTAAAATAACCATCACGTTCACATGATGATTCATCGCTCCAAATTATTTTATTAAAAAAGTTGGGGTCTGAATCATGCATTCGCAACATTTCACGGCAAAATCTAACCTTCGACAGGTAATCTCTTTCTTGTAGAGTCTGAACACGTTGAATGTGGTAGGGATGGTATTTTAAAGCTTTGTGAACTGTAGTTTTTGGTATTCCAGTCCGTCTTTCCATCATTCTCACTGAAGTCGGTGGACCT